AATAATAATAATAATAATAAATTTAATTAAACTAAGTAAATAATTCTTTTCTTAAAAAAAGCAAAGAAAACATTTTCAAGCACTTGCATGGTATACTAGTATACTATACAATTTGCCTGTTAATTTTGTTGATTCTCTTCTCTCGTCTGGTAGAATATGCACTTCATGAGGGCAGAGGTGTTTATTTTCTCTGTTCACAAATGGCATCTAAGAACCCTCACCCGCAGAGTCGAAATTATTGCCCGGCACATTGCAGGTGCCTCGCCATGTCTGCAAAATAAGTCCTGGCAAGTGGCAACGGGGTTTAAAGCTGCTGCTCACTTTTTGCTCTGTCCTTCTCTGCTTTTCCTTCAGCACATATGATGATGATAAGCTCAAGAAGTTGGGGACCGAAGTCATACTCCGCCCGTTCACCCCCGTGCATAGCTGCATCATTTCTTCCTCGCTCCCTGAGGCTCACGTGTAAGTTGTCTCACCCTGGGTTCACTGGCCTTCCTAGCTCAGAAACTGAAGCCGAGCTGAAATGACTCAGTAAGCCAACATATGTCAGGAGCCGTAGAGCTAGTCCTTTGTCCCCTGGAAAGGGACATGGAGTCTGGAGCTGGCAAAGCTACTCGGTGAATAACAGAACGTAGACAAGGTGTTTTAGAGCTAAGTGACAAAGCAGCTGGGATTGAATCACTCCATTTCTTACCTAGCCAGACGCTCTAATGTCAAATAGTTTGCAGAGCCTGATAAAATCTGTCTACAGTCCTTACCAGGCATGGGTGAGAATGTCTCAGCCTGTGTTCAGGGGATGTATTTTCCCCCAAGACTGAAGGAGCAATTTCCCAGAGAAGCCCCTGTAGCCGTCTGACCCACATGAGGTCATCAGTGCACAGCGTAGCAGGGGCGAATCGACCCTCCAAAGAACACTCTTGCTTTCTAAAACCTTGACATCTTATTCCCCTGGTGTCTGTTCCAAGGAAGTCCAAATGCAACATTTTCTTTTTCACTAGTTAGCACTTTTCAACTGGAAGATGAGAGGTGCAGAGATACACGCTTTTGACTTTAGGGCAGGGCTTCTCAACCTCAGCACTTCTGACGTTTGCAGAGAAATAATTACTTCTTTGTTGCAAGGGGCTGCCCTGAGGATCTCAGGGTGTTTAGCAGCATGCATGACCTCAATCTACTAGATGCTAGTAACTTCCTTCTCCCTCACAAAACCACTAAAATGTCTCCAGACATTTCCCATTGCCCCCTGGGAGCAAAACCGCACACACCCTACCCAGTGCAGTAGGGCAATTCCAAACATTTCTGCTCATTTGCCAGGTATTGATTAGGCTCCTACAGTGTTCACAGTGATAATGGCACCACTGACTGATCTGTAGGTGTCATTTGATTCTATCTTCTCTCCAGCCCTTCTATGTAGGTATGTTATTAATCCTTCTCTGCACATGAAAAAGCAGAAGCTCAGAGAGGTGTACTCACCTACCCAAAGTCACGGAGCTCAGTGTATGACTGCACTGGGTTTTGAGTCAGGTCTGTCTGAGTTCAGACCCCAACTGTCATCATTTCACACTACACAGAAAGTGTAGACTTTCTAAGACCTAGCCACTGAGGAGCTCATAATATACTTAGAAAGCCGAATCTCTTATACTTCAAGGATAAAATAATGCAAGAGTAAAACTGTAGGACAAACATAAAAGGATCCTTACTGAGAGTGCTTAATTCATGGATGGACGCTGCCACAACCACTGCCATCGTTTCCACGGTCACCATCATCATTGCCATAATCATCATTATCATCACCACCATTATATGGTCCCTGCATACTGGACACATCCTTTTCCCTGTCTAATACTCCAGCCTTTAGTGACCCTCTCATTTTTCTCCTACCTCCTTCTGATTGCTATTGTGATTGGCTTCTTGGTAGACCTCCTTGGTCAGGGACATTTCAACTGGCAACCTAAGCCTGATGTCCTTAAAGCATCTCCTTCCAAAAAGAGGCCTTGCGATTTCTTATAATGTCCTTTGGGAAACTTGCACGTCTGTCTGACTCTCCCACAGGCAAGGCTCCCAAAACCAAGTGGTGTAGATCAGCGAGCTTTCCCTTGCTTTGGAATCATCTGAAGATGAGGGAGGGAGGAAACGCCGTAGAAAATGCATATCCCTGAGGCCAACCATTGATTCATTTGGTCTAAGCAAATTAAGGATTAAATCAGCTCTGAAATGACTGGGGAGAGTTTTTTGGCTGTCTTCCTTCATGCCAGATGGGGAAACTCCAGCCCAGCAAGGTGACAGAACCTGTGGAAGGTCTCACAACATGTTTCTTGATCTCCTGCCTACTAAATCAGATGTTTACACCAGGTTTGTTACATAGGGTAGAGAAGTGCTATTATCGCTGTTATTTGTTATACCCTAGACCAGGGGTCAGAACATTTTTCCTTAGAAGGCTAGACAGCAAAGATTTTAGGCTTTGCAGACCAGATGGTCTCTCTTCCAATTACTTGATTTTGCTGTGGTAGCATGAACACCACCAACAATGGATGTGGATGTGTTTCAATAAAGTTTTATTTACAAAAACTGCTGGCAGATGGACTGGCTGTAGTTTGCTGATCCTTGCCTCAGGGTGAATACTGTCCTTTAGTCTCCTTAGCCATAAAAAAGGTTCTGGCCATATTGATAACCTGTGGTAATCTATGGCTATATTACAGACCACCTCAACGTGGAGTGGCTTTTAAAAAACAAAATTATTGCTCTACAGGTCAGCTGGTTTCTGCTGGTCAGGCTGGCATGACTAATCTTGGCTGGATTTGCTTTTGTGTCTGTACCCAGCTGATGGGAGAGCTGGAGTTTGGCTGATCCGTTATGGAACGGCTTCATTCCTAAGACAACTGGATGAATGGCTGTTGGCTAGGAGGACAGGGTTGTCTCTCAACAAGCTAGCCTGGGTTTATTCACATGGCCATCAGAGAGGGTTCTAGGAACAAGAGCCTGAGAACCCAAAAACCCTTTGAGACTTAGGCTCAGAATGACACAATGATCTTTCCACGACATTCTACTGGCCAAAGCAAGTCATTGGGCCCACCTAGATACCAAGAGTAGGAAGGAATCTTGATAGGGCGAAGCCATAAGATCGCATCACAGAGTGCACAAAGCGGAGAGAGACAGCATTGCTGTAATCAGTCTACCGAAAGCCATCAGGGCAGGCCTGCCTGGTCAATTCCTGAACTCTCAATTGTCACATCAGCCAATGCACATCAGAGTCTGGTCAGTCCTTTCAATCTATGTGATCGATCCCCAAACTGACTGATAATTCTGAATTGGCTTCATGGGAATCAATTCACTCATGTCACAGAAGACCTGACCTTTATCTTTAAAGGGGGAAAGGAATGATCTCTAGAATGAGAAACTGCTCCTCCCCCATTTCCTCTGTGAGATGGCGGGGCTGTTGTGAGCAGCCATGCAGTAAAAGCAGTGCTGGCCACCCATGCCCACCTCTGCCTCTGGCAATTGGCATGGAGTACTTGGAATGGTTTTGTGCACATTTTCTGATTTCTCTTACTGAAAGAAAAGAATGTTGTTTTCTTCCTGGGGGTTTATGCCCACTGGTATTCTGGTCAGTAAGGCAGTTTTAATAGAGTGGCTATTCAGGTGTACCGACTGCTGGTTCTCGTCCAGAGTTTCAAGCTTGGGGATTTTAGAAGCAGGCTTTCCGCATCTCTGCTCAGCGTCTTTACCTATTATACTCTACATTTAAGAAAATAAACACTTTTATCCTTTAATTTATTAAAATGGAAGACTGTGCTATGACTCGATGATACACGGTTACTATGAGAAAGGACCGGTTTCTATTGAGCATGTTTCTGGAGGACCTTCTTTGGTTTGTTTGTTTCACTGCAGGTTAGATGAGTGACCGTCAGGTCTGAGGCATGTTTTATAAACAGAGAAAGGTCCAGATCCATCAGAAGAGCAGACTTTTCACACGTTCTTTATTTACTCATTGTGTTTTATCAGATTAACAGCTAGGCACCAGTAAGATCTTGACTTCCCAGAATTGTCTTACTCGCCTGTGTCTTTGCCTCTACACATACCAATGTCCAGTAAATGTCATCTCATTTCAAATCAGGGCTCTGCCCCCGACTGACTAAGCGACTTGGCACAGCTTCCTTTACTCCTCACAACCTCAGTTTCCTCATCTGTTAAATGGGGCTAATGAATACCTCATGGACCCACTGCAAAGATCTAGGGAGAAAATGTATGTGATATACATGTGCTTTGAGCCCATTTTCGAAATGAGAGCCTGCCAACTACTATCTCAATGGCTCTCATAGTGAAGAGTGTTGTAACAGGTTCCCACTGTGCCCTCTCTGTCTTTGCAGTGAGCCCCTCTTCCGCCAGCTCTGCGCCCTCCACTGGCTTCTGGAGGCCCTGACTATCGACCACACCCACCACACCATGAAGCCCGTGATCACCTGCTGGAATACTAAGTATGCCTCAGCCCTGCAACTTGCCACAGACAAACAATAAACTGGACAGTATGGAAGGGACTCGGATACATCTCTCCCCTCCTGTTGCTATATTTGGAGAGTTGGTAGCTTTAAGAGATTTTTGTTTCGTTGTATTCTGTTTTTTTGAGAGATTTTTGCTATAGGACACCATGTGCTTGGCAGAGACAGAGATAGAAAGTAAGAAATCACCCCCTTGGGGGGGGATAGCCATGCTGCAATCCTTTCTCCTCCGTTCTCCTCCTGGTATCTTGGGCACCTACGCATGTGTGCCTGGCATCCAGGACTTGAAACCTAGTCGGCCATGTGAGAGTCCAGTGACACAACTGTTACACCATGTGCTGGCCCCAGCTTTAAGAGTTTTTATATGGGCTCTGTGGAACTCAAGCAGGGGTGAGCCAATACAGCTCAATTGACTCAACAGAACCAATTGTGCATACCTTTTTCCAGAATCTCTTTCCAACTCTTCATTCAGTGACATCGTATTAGTAGCTTAAAATCAATCAATAGAGTGGAGATATTTACGCCATAGGAATTGGCAAGCTGCACCAGTACACCACTGGATCCACAGTTAGATTTCTCTCCAACTGTTTTCACCTGGTTCTCTTCCTTTCCCCTTCTCCCTTTCCATCTCTGTTTTTGGCTTTCCTCCTCCTCTCAAAGTTTTCATCTTGGTTTCCTCCTCCTCCTCCTCCTCCTCCTTCTTTTTCTTCTTCAACTATATATTGGTGGCTATTTCATCACTTGGACCAGAGGGTGTACTTAGTATTGAGGTCCCTAGAGCAGCTACAGAATATCCAGGTCAAGAAAAGTGTTAGGTGTCTCCTCACCAGAGGGGGCAGCCTATTACAAAAGTTTTAAGGTCCTGTTGCAGGAACTACATCATACACACAAGATGGAACAAGGGACAGAGGCATGATGAATATACTGTTTTTTTGTTTATTTGTTTGTTTTATTTTGTTTTAGAAGGTTGACTGCAAAAATGGGACAAAAAAAAAGTGAAGAACTCTGACTTGCAGAATTGAATTTGCACTGTGAAAATCATAGGCTGAATTAAATAAAATAGTTCCCTATCCCCAATGCTAACACTCCCCACCCCTATTCCCCAGACACTGATAACGGCGCCCTCTCACAGCCCTGGCTCCCAAGTGAATTTAATATTCTTTCTTTCCAAAATCCTGAGTCTTAATTAACTCCTTCCTCCTGAAGACATCTACCACTCATTCCTGACTTCATGTCTTGCACCAGGGCCCAAATAACTAACCTCAAAGAAATATAAGTTATGCATCTCCTGACAGGTAACTCAACTTGTTCATGGAGCTAGGCTGTATTTAAAACTGTAGTTTCCATTGATATAGTGGCTAACAAGATTTATATATTTTTAAGTAGCAGAAATCCATTTTTTTAATGGGAACCCCAGTAACATAAAAGAGACTTTTCTAAATGAAACTTCTTCATTAGGCAAAAGGTTTGGGGATCCAGGAAACCACGGGACCCTCCCATTTGCTCCTATTCCCATCATGACATCCCAGTTATTTCTAAAATGTCACTGTGGCTGCCAAAATTTCTTTGAAATCCACTGCCTTAAAACATTCCCCATGCATTATTTATTTGTCTTTAAAATAAAACTGCTCAAGTAATAAATGAATACAATTTATTCTTATGGAAAATTTCCCCAAAATCCACAAGTACAGAGTATATAAATTATATTAAGTATAAAAGCTTTTAGTCCCTCCCTAAAACCCCCGCCTTAAAGAAAGCCCCTTTTAAAGGTCTCAATTGCACCCTTCCAAATATTTCTAGTGCTTTTCCCTTATAAATACATACAGAGACATACTTAAAAAAAAAAAAAAACCAGAAATGGGATTATACTCTGAATACTTCTTTTTCTCTACAGGATTTTCTCCCTTTTGCAATAACTCGTGAGCCTCTCTCCATGATGGTACACACAAAATGCCCACATTCTTTTTGTTTTATTAAGAGAGATTTTTGCTATAGGGTGTGTGCACTCACCAGAGAGACAGAAAATGAGAAATCACTTCCCAGACGGACGGCCATGCCACCACAATCCCTTCTCCTCTAAGGATTTTGGGCACACGTGCACATGCACTTGGCATAAGTTTCAAGCCACTAGGTCCAGGACTCAAACCGTGGTCAACCACGTGGAAGTCCAGCACCTTAACCACCACGTCACTTGCTGGTCCCAGGTGTCCATGTTATTTTAAAAGCAGCAGACTATCTACTACATAGCTAAAGCATAATTTAGATAACAGGTTCCTATTAGCAAACCATTCCCATATTTTTGGCATTTCAAGTGAGTAGCACTACACGGGTTATCCTTACATGTATCTTTAATGCTCTGGTGCAAATATTCCTATTGGCTAGGTTCTGAGATATGGGAACTGCCAGATCAAAGAAATACCTAATTTTTTTCACAGTTAAATGCTCATATTCTAAGAAAAAAGCCCCTGAGCCAGAGGATTTCTAATAGCATTTTGTCTTCTTGAGCAAGCCTCCAACATATGGGCACCCATTCTTCCAGAATAAGGAAAGAATATCATGTAAAATTTGAATTGAGCAGAGAATAACAACCATCTATTTCCTTTAGTTGCTTTTATAGAAGTACCCAGATCATGACCAACAATTGTCACATGTAGTAAAAAGACACAGTGGTCACATTGAGAGTAGTAGATATTCTACTAAGATCTGTAAGGACAGAATTTCAACAGGAATCTGAGGATGTCCAACTCTATATGAGCAGAACGTAAACCAGACCTCACCCAAACAAAAAATGCAATCCAGAAAAGGAAGTCAGAGTATTTTGTTGAGGTTTGGCTTTTTTAGTGAACCATTGGTTCCTGAGGAGAACTGTAGTTTGAAGTCAATTGTATGCTGGTAAATGTGGGGTCTTTTTTTATTACATATTGATAAATTACAGTAAAAACAGAGACATACTTAAAAAAAAAAAAAAACCAGAAATGGGATTATACTCTGAATACTTCTTTTTCTCTACAGGATTTTCTCCCTTTTGCAATAACTCGTGAGCCTCTCTCCATGATGGTACACACAAAATGCCCACATTCTTTTTGTTTTATTAAGAGAGATTTTTGCTATAGGGTGTGTGCACTCACCAGAGAGACAGAAAATGAGAAATCACTTCCCAGACGGACGGCCATGCCACCACAATCCCTTCTCCTCTAAGGATTTTGGGCACACGTGCACATGCACTTGGCATAAGTTTCAAGCCACTAGGTCCAGGACTCAAACCGTGGTCAACCACGTGGAAGTCCAGCACCTTAACCACCACGTCACTTGCTGGTCCCAGGTGTCCATGTTATTTTAAAAGCAGCAGACTATCTACTACATAGCTAAAGCATAATTTAGATAACAGGTTCCTATTAGCAAACCATTCCCATATTTTTGGCATTTCAAGTGAGTAGCACTACACGGGTTATCCTTACATGTATCTTTAATGCTCTGGTGCAAATATTCCTATTGGCTAGGTTCTGAGATATGGGAACTGCCAGATCAAAGAAATACCTAATTTTTTTCACAGTTAAATGCTCATATTCTAAGAAAAAAGCCCCTGAGCCAGAGGATTTCTAATAGCATTTTGTCTTCTTGAGCAAGCCTCCAACATATGGGCACCCATTCTTCCAGAATAAGGAAAGAATATCATGTAAAATTTGAATTGAGCAGAGAATAACAACCATCTATTTCCTTTAGTTGCTTTTATAGAAGTACCCAGATCATGACCAACAATTGTCACATGTAGTAAAAAGACACAGTGGTCACATTGAGAGTAGTAGATATTCTACTAAGATCTGTAAGGACAGAATTTCAACAGGAATCTGAGGATGTCCAACTCTATATGAGCAGAACGTAAACCAGACCTCACCCAAACAAAAAATGCAATCCAGAAAAGGAAGTCAGAGTATTTTGTTGAGGTTTGGCTTTTTTAGTGAACCATTGGTTCCTGAGGAGAACTGTAGTTTGAAGTCAATTGTATGCTGGTAAATGTGGGGTCTTTTTTTATTACATATTGATAAATTACAGTTACATACGGTAAAATGTTTAGCAAACAATTCTCCAGGAGGTACAGAGCCATGATTTGTAACAATGCCAATTCCTGTGGTGTAAATACTCCCACTGTAGCAGATTTCAAGCTTACCCAAACTATATCACTGAACTTGTAGTTGGGAAGAGATGTACAAACTGGTTTTCTGCAGCTGGTATGAGCCAGCCCTGGCACACCACTGCTTGGAATTCATTTTTTTTTAAATGCATGCATCAGGATGGGGAGGGAGTTTTAAGTTCTCCAGAAAATGCTAGAAAGTATCTTTTAAAAAATAATAATTATTCAATTTAATTTTATCTATTATTTTTTTTTTTAAATTTGGCCAGAGAGAGACAGAGACAGAGAGAGAGGGAGAAAGAGACAAAGTGAAAAACCAAGCCACTAGATCCAGGACTCAAACTGCAGTCAGCCATTTATTGGGAATCCGGCACCTTAACCATTATACCCCATGCTGGCCCTAGAAAGCACCTTTTTAGTTAGTAAGGGGGAAAAAAAAAGTCTTCCTTACAATTCTTGATCTTTATTCATTATGCCATATAGTGTGAATTTCCCCAGATCTTCAAATACATTTCTTTTTTAAGCCAGAGAGATTAGAGTGCCTACAAGCAAGAGCTTTGAAATCAGATAAACTTAGATGAGTCAAGGCCCTGCCTCCTTATAGCTGTGTAACCTTGGGCAAGTCACTTAATTTCTCTGGGTCTCTGTTTCTTCTTCTATCAAATGGGTTCCTGCCTTAGCAGACCTATTAAGAGGATTAACATCTAACACGTTTTATTGCATTGGCTGTCCCAGGGAGACACGCTCTACTGGGGAGGCCAGGTGGATATAATTCCACATTTCTGAAGAAAGACCAGACACTCAGGGGCTGAGCTGCCCAGGCACAAAGAACTTACCACTCCTTTAG